GCGGTGGCGGGGCTGGCAGAGGCGCGGTGCTCACAGAGGGAGGAGCGTGCAGCGGGCAGCATCGGGGCGAGCAGTGGCGCGGGGAGTGGCGTGGCAACGGCGTCGGGGCAGGAGCGGCGCGCGGCGGGGCAGGGGCGGCGCGCGGCGACGGCGTCGGGCGAGGGCGCGGGTGACGGCGAGGGCGCGAGCGACAGCGACAGCGACGGCGGGGGCGGCGGGCGGCATCGGGGCAGCCTGGCGGCGACGATGTGCTCGGCGTCGTCGGGGGCAACTGTGGTGATGAACTTTCCAAAATTGCTAAGTGCTACTTATATACCAGGAGCATTGGTCCCGGTTGGTGGCACCAACCGGTACCAATGCCCCTCTTTAGTCCCGGTTATTGCCACCAACCGGGACCAAAGGTCACTTTTCAGCAGCCCAAAGGGCGGGAAGCAGAGGTCTTTGCTCCCGGTTGGTGGCACGAACCGGGACTAAAGGGGGGCATTGGTACAGGTTGGTGCCACCAACCGGGACCAAAGCCACCCTTTAGTCCCGGTTGGTGCCACCAACCGGGACCAGTGGCCTTGCACAGCGGGGTGGTGGTGGGAGTTTAATCCCACTTCGCTAGTTGGAAGCGCCCGGCACCTGTTTATAAGCTCCATTGGCTCTTCCCTCTCGAACTCCTCTGAACTGGAGGCCTATGGGCCTAAACTGACACTGATATGCCTGTGGCGGCCCAGTAGGTGGCAAATTTTTTATTTTTTCCCATTTTTTTGTTTTCTTTTTTTCTTTATTTATATTGTTTTGTTTCAACTTACAACAAAATACTTATTATGAAAATTCTTTGATTATTTTTTTGAAAATTCTTTTTGCATTCAATGATTTTGAACAGAAAATACTTTGATAATTTTAGTTTCATAAATTTTATTTATGTTACTAAAGTTTATTTTATTTTATTTTATTTTGTTTCTACTTATATATTTTATTAAATTTTATATTATTTTGTTTCAAATTAATTATTTATTTTATTTTATGATAATTCTTTTTGCTATTAAAGTTTGTAACAAAAAAGTTATTTACGAACTCTGAAAAAAGGGATTTCATACGAAAACTCGTCTGTTACAAAGGGATTTCATTTTTGTTATCAGGGTTTCATACGGAAACTCGTCTGTTACAAAGGGATTTCATTTTTTTTGAACTTATTTGAACTCCATAGTTTTTCTGTGTTCAAAATGCACCATTCGGAGCCACATCATCAATTTTCAACCCTTTCTGACATCATTTGTTATTTTTCATGCATTTACTGATTATTTTGAGCTATAAGACCATGAAATTGAAAAGCATTTGGACTGAACTCTGAAAATGTTGAAAGTTGGCATGGTATCATTATTTCACCCACATAGCATGTTCAAGAAAGTAGAGAGGGTTACGGCAAAAACTGGATGCACTTCGTGTACAAAATGAACAATCTCTTTCGAAGTATCAGGGTTTCATACGAAACTCGTCTGTTATAAAGGGATTTTATTTTTTTGAACTTATTTGAACTTCATAGTTTTTCTATGTTCAAAATGCACCATTCAAAGCCACATCATCAATTTTCAACCATTTCTGACTTTATTTATTATTTTTCATGCATTTACTGATTATTTTGAACTATAAGACCATGAAATTGAAAAGCATTTGAAATGAACTCTGAAAAGGTTGAAAGTTGGCATGGTATCGTCATTTCACCCACATAGCATGTGCAAAAAGTAGAGAGGGTTACGGCAAAAACTGGATGCACTTCGTGTACAAAACGGACAATCTCTTTCGAAGTATCAGGGTTTCATCACGAAACTCGTCTGTTACAAAGGGATTTCATTTTTTTTGAACTTATTTGAACTACGTAGTTTTTCTGTGTTCAAAATGCACCATTCAAAGCTACATCATCGATTTTCAACCCTCCCATAAATAGATAAGTGACCAAATTAATAGAAGTTCATCATCACATTAAAACCAAAGTACGTACTTAGTTCTCATTGAACAACATATAGCTCTCCACAGCATCTAATTAAACCATACATTGAAATTATGTAAAACATTTCAATGCAACAACAAATGCGATCATAATCCCAACTAAGGTAACAACTGATCCAACTGCATAATGATACCAAGCCTCGGTATGAATGCATATTTTCTAATCTTTCTATTCTTCAACCGCATTGCATCCATCTTGATCTTGTGATCATCGACGACATCCGCAACATGCAACTCCAATATCATCTTCTCCTCCTCAATTTTTCTTATTTTTTCCTTCAAGTAATTGTTTTCTTCTTCAACTAAATTTAACCTCTCGACAATAGGGTCGGTTGGAATTTCCGGTCCAACCACCTCCTAGATAAATAAAATCTATGTCACGTTGGTCGCCATAATTGTCATAAACAATAAATTAACCAAATAGTTGTCAAAAGATAATATATAAATTAACCAAAACCATCGAACTATATAATAACAAGGAATAATAAAAGTAAGAAAATTAGACGAGTATCTATCTGAAGTAAGAATTTTTTTTCTTTCAAAAAGAAGATAAGAACAAGTGGCTCACCACGGTGGTGCCGGCAACGAGATCGGCGCGGGCGATCGACAGTGGTGAAGACGGTGACGGGACGTGACGGACCGCTAAACCTAGACAAATCTCGGGGAAAATGGAGCTCGGAGGTCGAGTTTCGAGAGGAGAAAGATTAACTAGTGTGGCTCGGACATTTCATCGAACAGCTCATGTGCATAGGAGGTGAGCTAGAGCACCCAAATGCCCTCCCCTCGCCGGCCAGAAAAAACAGAGCATTGTGGAGTGCTCTGCTGTGGCGATGGGGTATATATAGGCAACTCATTTGTCCCGGTTCATGGTAGAAACCGGGACTAAAGCCCAGCATTCAGTCCCGGCTCAAGCCACGAACCGGGACCAATGGTTGTGGGCCAGGAGCGAGGACCATTGGTCCCTGTTCGTGCCTGGAACCAAGACAAATGGGTCCATACGAACTGGGACCAATGCCCACGAGGCCCCGGCCGGCCCCCTGGGCTCACGAACTGGGACGTATTCCCCCATGGGTCCCGGTTCATGACTGAACCGGGACTAATGGGTTGGCCAGGCCCGAACGAAAGCCCTGTTTTCTACTAGTGTGCAAACAACGTACACCAACTCACGCACACATGAAAGAAACACCGACAAAAGCAAAGTCATATAAGACCAAAGCTATGCATTCTTATTAGCTAGGATGAATTTTTCTTATGTCTATGGCGTTATAATAATGTTATGCATTTTTCTAGTGTCTACTTTCTCCCCCCTCCAGTGAGTCACTAATTAACTTTCGATAACAAGTTATAAGCTCATGAACCAACCACTGGCCAACATCTGGTTGGATGGCTAGGAGCACAGTGCTATCCCCAGCCCACGAGGGTTCAGGTCTAGACTTTACACTGGTGCTCGCATTCTTCTGAATTTATTTCAGACCTTCTGGTGATGTGGGTTCCGTGGGAGGAGACGTTCCCGTTGACTAGGTAGACGTCTGTGGCGACTTCGTTAATCTCAAGATGATGTGCCACCTCAGTCTCTCGGAGGTGCTCATAAGGATAGGGTGTGCATGCGTGCATTTATAGGGGTGAGTAAATGTGCATATGTGTGAACGTCTGTGTCTGCCCTCTAAATTTTCCATATATGGAAAGTAAAATGAACCACGTTCACATATATAACAAGAAGGTTAAATCAACCGCATTCACATACATAAGAAAATAATGTTATATCGTCCACGTTTACATCTATAAAACTCGAGGCGCAGACCCGAACACGTTCACATGCCTCCCACCAAAATCCAAAAATTCGAATCCTTATCCATAGTATCAAGACTTGCCATTTTGTTCCAACTGGCTAGCTTATATAAGCCGTCCTTTTGGCCTGGCTGACAAACCATCACCTCCTTCCGGCCTCCACCAGTCAATCACAGCTTGAGAAGCCACAACGGCACGGTAGTACTTACAGGCTGTATCGCGATACACCTGACGATGGCGCGGATTCGACGGTCGAGAAGGAACTCCATACGCGGCCGGCCACGGTATGCTGCAGCTCTTGCCCGTTGCATGTTAATCATTCGTAGTCTACTTTTGTTCTTACGATATACTCCCTCAGTCCGGAAATACTTGTCTTCAAAATAAATAAAAGGGGATGTATCTAGACGTATTTTAGTTCTAGATACATCTCCTTTTATCCATTTCTATGACCAGTATTTTCGGACGGAGGGAGTAATACATGTCAATCACATGTATTACCGCTCGTTCTCGTTTGTATTTTTTAATGGGATTCTGTTTTCATACCGTATGCCATCAGATTCCGACATGTTTTATGGGTTTGCCATGTATTATATCATGTGTCATCTCAAATATAATCCCACCTTTTTTGTGAAGTTCACGCCTTTGAAGAATAGAGTTTTGCAGAAAATTTGAAAAAAGAATTCTGTACTTTAACGCTACAAATGGACACTTAAAGATCATTTCCAGAGCACATATACAATTTCTGATGATGTTTCTACGTATTTTTTATTGAGAATTGAAGGTGTTTGTATGTACATTTGGTTCTTGGAGATGTTTGTCAAACCCATCTCAAATCAGTAATTTATCTCTGGTTATCCATTGTCCTTTCCATTCTAATTGACACGCCTTAATATTACAAAATTCCTTTAGAATTTACATGTCTTATTAATGTTTGCCAAATCCTCTTCCCACATCGCCTAGCCGAAATGCCAACATGCTACAGGCCCGCGAGGCAAAGTTGGACGCAACGGACGGCCACCAGCAAAGATGGGCCAACATGCAGGAGGACATCCTGCAAATAATAACATCTCGGATCGACGTGCTTAGTCGTGCTCGACTGGCTGGTACTTGCACCGTCCTTCTAGAGACAGTTCCTAGAATATCCCTTGACTTGCCGCTTGATTTACCATGCGTGCTTGAGGATGATATCTCGTGGCCGATCGGGCTGCCACAGGAAGGTACGCGGTGTACGCTCATGCCTCTGGATGCCCCGGCGCTGCATGCACGCTTGATGTCTACTCCTGCCAAACGCTGGGTTGGTGCTAACGGTGACTGGCTAGCGTATGTCGGGGATGCTGGCCATATTGAACTGCACAATGTGTACACAACTGTCACTGTGCCACTTCCGCCCATTTCCAGCATAGGGTTTGATCTGGTTGACTTGCCAGACAGCGTGCAATTCCACTTTGATCAAGCAAGGGCAAAACTGAAGAAGATAGCTATCGCTGATGCACCATCCAAGAAGGCCGGCTATAGCAACTACGCTGTGATCGCGGTGTTTGAGATCTCAATTGCCATCGCCAGAGGTGGTTTCACCTCCGACGGGTGGAAACTATTAAGGTCGGACCTCATGTTCCCTTTTGTGTATGAAGATGCTGTTCTTCATGGCGGACGGATCTTTGCACTGACAAACGAGGGGTCTGTTTTCGTTTGGCAGCTCTCGTATGGTAAGCTCAACTACATTGATCACATTTTAGGAACTACTGCAATTCAGACAACTAATATGATGAACGGTTTTTGGGCAGGATTGAACTTGGCTCCTCAGAAAATCCCGGCTCCTGTTATCATCGATGGACAGGACCTCACGCCTCTCTCTTGGAATCTTGTACCTGACATAAATGACAATCAAACTATGTTATTGGTCCACACACGTGGGGTCGTAACAGGGGAAGAGGTCGAGAGTCTATATCTGGAGCGAGGACTGCGCTCATATGGAACAATGCGCTGCCTTGTGTTCCAGCTGAATGGCATGGTCTGGAATCTTGCTGGGGCTCACTGGGAAAGGAAGCATGATCTTGGAGCATACTCTCTGTTCATTGGCATGAATTATCCACTGATGATTGAAATGCCACCATCTGTACATGATGCCCAGGGCCTTCCCTTCATGAAGCATGGATGCATTTTCAGTATGCATGAACGCATTAGGAGTTGGAATGGAGACTTTCCTGACCTATGCCGTTTCAGCTTGAATGAAGATCTTGCACTAGGTGTAGAACTTACCAGCAATCAAGCTCGGGCGCGATGCCCCCCTATCTGGCTCGTGCCATCCATGCGGAACACAGAGGACTGGAATGTCCGCTAAGATAACTAGTCATTGTATTGTTCCTTGTTCGTTGTTCCGTTCAGCTATTGTACTTTATTTTGTACTCAGTTAAAGTTGTGTGAATTTCATGTATTTCGTGATATTTTTGTCACCTTTTATCTGGCACATATATGTCGTGTGTAATGGGCATAAATAATGCTCCCTCCGTCCCACAGTATAAGACATCTTTGCAAGCTATGTTAGCTTTCAAAGACGTCTTATATTGTGGGACGGAGGGAGTATATAACAGTGGTATTTGTAGCACAAATGTGAGAGATTTGTATCAATGCCTTGGGCTGGCACGTGTATGATTTTCTAAGGGAGACAACTCTTTTTAAATCTCTATGCCACCGAGGAGATACATCTCTCCCGGGTCTCTCCATCAAACTGGTCGTCCGGTCGGCCACGCGATGAGAACATAATATCTATAGTAGAAGTTATTTGGTTGCACCATAGTACAAATGTATTATTTTTTAAAGATATTGGGTTCAAAGCATATGATTGGAGTGTAGAGAAAGCAAAGCATATGACTTTGAAGGTTTTATGGCTATGGAGAAAGAAACCTCTTTAGGGTAGAAATGTGTTTATTGGTAATTCACAGCTTGTTTCCACGCGTTCTATTTTCTTGTTTGATTGGCCTGTCATTACCTCTTTCTAAAATAAGAGTTCCCTTTAAATCGGCAATGTTTCATTTTGGCTCAGCGCCAAAAGTCCTTGGCTGTTTCCATCCCAAAATTCTAATCCGTATCAGTACTTGCCATTTTGTTCCAACCGGCTGGCTTTTATATAGACACCCAGACATGCCATCTGGCCTCCACCACAATCCATCACATCACAACGTGAGAAGCAACGAACGCGGCGTAGTAATGCGTACCTATACACCTAACCGTCGATGATGGTGTGGATTCGAGGGGAAAAAGAAAAGATACGTTGCAACTTTGGCCCGTTTGTATGCACGTAATCTTGCTGGATCTGGTTTCACACTGTACGCCACCAGGCTGACTATTTTAATTAAAAAGGAAATGCTTGATTATTGGGTTTGTGCTCTGTTATTTTACGTCCTATCCTCTGCCAGCTTTTCTGCAGTCTTGCTCGTGAGTTTGTCCATAATATTGATACGAATTATTTTCAGATCTAATATCATCCCAACTTTTTGTATCGAGTTCATCCATTTGAAGAATGGATTTTCGGATAGAATTTTCAGAGATGTGTTGCTTAACGCAACAGATGTGCACTTCATTCGTTGTCACACAGAAGATTGGCATTTAATTCGTTTTCATATTAGATCTAGGATTTTTCTACAATCTTATTGTGGTGTTTCTGGTTGAGTTTGGTTCCTACGCAGATGATTGTAGACATTCCATCATTCATTTTCACAAACAGATCTAGGATTTTCAATCCTTTATCGTGGTGGTTTCTAGGTGCATTTAGCTCTTACAGATATTTGTCAAAATCTCCATTGTTTGCTTTCGGAATAGATCTAGGATTTTCTATCTTTTGTCGTGTTGTTTTTTGGTGCATCCAGTTCCTGCAAATTCTTTTAAACCCTTCACCGCTTCATTTTCAGAATAGATCTAAGATTTTCAATTCTTTTTTATCATAGTTTTTAGATGGATTTAGTTCCTCTATATGCTTTCAAAACTTTCATTGTTTATATTTCGAATAGATCTAGGATTTTCTATCTTTTATCATGGTGTTTTTGTGTTCGTTTCCTCCATATGCTTTCAAACCCTTCATAGTTTATTTTTTTAGAATAGAGCGCTGTTGGGAGTCCCTCCACTCTACCGCTCCGCTCCGGGGCCCTGGCCGTCTGCCTGCGCGTGTGCACGGCCATGGTCGGGAGTGCGCGTTTGTGAGGCATGTGCGCTCGTGCGTGTGTGCCGTACCATGGGCCAGTTGGTGTGTGCGTGTGTATGTGCATGGCCCAGGCACGGCGCACACATATCTGTTCATGACGCATGTCATGCGTGCAGGTTTCCAAGGCATGTCTGGTGCGTGCGTTGTGCATGGACGAGGTCTACTATCCTAGTTGCAGGGAGAACAATTTACAAAGACCATGAACACAAGAAAACAATGAATAGAAGAGAAAAGAGGAGTGGAAAATGACGAATGGGTCTGCCTTGGCCTTGAGCAAATAGTATGGAGCTCTTCATCTAGCATGAATGGGAATGAGGATCTAATCATCGGGTAGGCACTTCATAGATTTTTAATCTATTTTCGAATGCAGATGCCAGAGTGAGCCACAGTTGTATCACTCGATGTGACGACGAAATCAATAAAATTTGCATTATCAATTCTTCTGACAAAATAACAATAACAAATATAAGACATTTTAAATCACTTGTGGTCCATGAATCAATGCAAGTATGGAGCTGTTATAATAATAAAGCGGCAAGCCTCTCTCTAATTATCCTAAGTGGACAGAAGGATGCAATAACCAGAAAGTAAAGATTATTCTACAAGCGACAACCAACAATGTGGTTGCATTACTACTATGGCTTTATACCGCTCTTCTTTTGACACTGGGACGCCTACTAGCAATTTTTTTTGGCGAACTTAGTAGTTTGGAGGATGTAGTTGTAGGCCTTGAAGTGGTAATCCTGGTTCCCTGACCCCTGTGTGACTTCGTGGGAATTCTTCTTCTGGGAATAGATCTGCAATTGTAGTTCTCACTTCCTCCACATTCTCCAATGGACGCCATCATTCCTAGATCCTAGTGTCATCTTCAATATTAACTTCACAAATCAGGATCTATTTATTTATCAAGCATATATATGAAGCTGTATTCTTTCCTAGGGAGGTGCTTTGTAGAATGTACGCAAGAGCGGGGCACGCAGCCTAGTTTTTCTTTGGGCTTTCGATTTTCAATCTTTCATATCTTTCATACCAAAATTCCAAATTAAGTTTTGTTTTTAAATATTTATGTTTTCGGTCACGAGGGCCTTTCAAATGAGATCCATTTTGAATATATTTTGATGAGTTTTTAAAACTTCCTTCAGTTTCAACTTTTCAAACTTGGTACGAGCGACCGACAAAATCATAAGTTGCAGAAACTAAAATTTTTGCGAATCACGAGACAATCAATTGGCCGATAATTTGTGCTTACCGTTCTTGTCAGGGTGAAGTTGTAACAATAAACCCCCAATGTTGAAGGCCTTTTTTGGACCTCGTGCTGCTGGTAGCACCGTAACCGCTACTTAGACAAGGCGCATCGTGCTTTAGCCACGTCTCATTCTTCATCCATGGCGTCTAGATCGTCCAGTCGCCTTTGTTTGGCCTCCTTTTCCTCATACAAGCGTTCCCGAGGTGAGTCGTGAATGAGGTCACTGGCCAAAATGGCTTCAGGACCATACACCATAAAGAATGGTGCGTAGCCAGTGGATATGTTCGGCGTTGTACGCAAACTCCAAAACACGAGTTAAGCTCCTCGACACATTTGTTATCAGCTTCTGCCAGAGATCGGACCAAGCATGGTTTTATACCACTTAGGATCAATCCATTGGCTCGCTCTACTTGCCCGTTTGTGGGTGGTAGATGGAGGCGTAATCAAGTTTGATATTGTGCTTAATACACCATGATTTTGCCTCTTCAGCCGTGAAGTTTGATCCCTTGTCTGATATGATACTGTGAGGCATCCCATAACAATGTACAACACCCAAGATGAAGTAAATCGCAGATTTAGCTTTTGCCAAGGCCGAGGTTTTGCCTCAATCCATTTGGTGATCCTGTCGACCATAACTAAAAGATACTTTTTTTTCCGGTTTTTCCTTTATGGAGTGGTCCGACCATGTCCAACCCCCAGACTGCAGTCAGCCATGTGATTGGGATTATTATTAGGTCTATGGCTGGCAAGTGGCTCCTTTTAGCGAAGAGCTGGCATCCGGCAGACTTGTCGAGCAAGTCTCGTGCTTCGGCCCTGTTGTGGGCCAGTAAAAGCTTACTCCGAATTCCTTGCTTACCAAGGTCTGAGGTGTTGCATGGTGCCCACACATGCCGGAGTGAACTTTTTATAAGACCTGTTGCCCTTCCTCTTCAGAAATGCAGCGTTATAGTATGCCGATAACTCTATGTTTGTAGAGTTCTCCTTTAGAGATGGTATAAGAGACAAATCGTCAAAAGATGCGCCATGTCTCCGTATGTTCCTCGGGTTGTTCTTTGCTTATCAAATATTCAAGGTG